TTCCACTATAACCAGTCAAATTATTATTTGACGTGACCAATGAGACTGGGTAGAATTTTCAGAAAAGTAAAAAGATTACATTCTTCAAGACATGTAAGTATTACATACAAATAAAATGTTTACTCTGGCATTTTTATGTATCTGTATAATCATTGTTGAATAGTCTGTTAGTTTATAAGGTTAGGGAGTTTTAAATTAAATGAAGGTTGTGGAATAATTGTGAAGAGTGCAGCAATATATAGTATCCCTATTTGTAACTCCAGTAAAGTTGTACGTCCATCACCCAGAAAAGAAGAATTAAGCCCTGTTTTTATGATACAGAAAAGACAAAATCCTCTCTACAACAACTGTAGCCAGACACAATCAGATGGTGAATCGGAAATGAATGCTTTTCCCAATTTCAGGCAATTTTTGCTTCGTCTCAGATAAGAGTTGAATTCCTGGCAAGGAACAACTGCCTTTTTCCTTACTAATAAGCCCTAAGCAATTTGTCTCTTTTTGGTCCTGGAGAAAGGCTGGGAAATGCAAAATCATCTTTCTATATTTTTTTCAATATTCTATCTACATAGGAAATAGCGATAGTTGATGTAGTGCTGTAAATAATTTGGGAAAGGTTGAAGTTCACAGGCTTGTATTTTGAAACTGATCTAGGCTGAATTATTCCACATTCTCCCTTGTACCTCTCCCTGCTGCCGCCCCCTCATCTACTACAGTTAAACATATTTTTTTCATTTTTTTTTTTCCACAGTTTGGGGAGAGCAATGCTGATACATAAACTAAGACGCCAGACTTCACATAGGGCATTTATGTGTTATTAAAAACAAATTCATACCATAAATCCATTTGGTCCTCTGCCAAAATTCCCTTTTTCATTGCAAAATGCACTTTGCTAATTCCAAACTTCAGCCCATCTTCCCTTTTGCTCTATTTGTCTATCTTATAGAGCACCTTAAATATTTCTTAATTGAACAGTTCGTGGTGAATTCTCCTTATAGCAGTTTAATAGATTAACTCATCTGTGCCAGCTTCAAATTTCAGATTAAAATTCCTTCATCCCGAAGGCAGCATTATCAGGTTATTGGAGGCTGTTTTCAAACCTTGGTTTTGAATAGCAGCGGCTCTGCATTAATTTAACCACTAAGCTAATAAGTAGGTTTCGTTTTGTTATGCTAAGCTTTATTGCTTTTCTTTTGATCAGAATGGTGTTGTTGAGCAAAGCAGCAGACAAGGCATTCTTTGATGAGGGAATTAGTGCTCTATTCTTCCTCTATTATTCATAGCACAGTGGAATATGTAAGTACCTGAGGGTGTCAAAGGAGAGCAGGCTCTATTGCAAAGTGTTCGCCTTGTTTCTCTCAATAGCTGACTATGAGATGATAAACCGCTTAATACACTGCACTAATTGGATGAGAGCAGAAAGAGATGGGAATTAAGGCAAGGCAAAAGGAGAAAGTGCTACCAGCCTTCATTCACTCTGTCACCACTTTAACAGCGCCAAAGGAGGCACAAGCTTTCTATAAGCAGACCAGAGGTTTTGTGCAGAGATAAAATGAACCTGTTAGTGGATTCAAGTAATACACTAATTATTGCACAGTATAAATACCACTACTGGTTTTATAACACGGAGGTAAACTTCTTTTGAGAACGTTATAGGATTGCTTGCCAGTAGTATAGATCCTAATAAGGGTCCAGAGTAATAACCCCCTGGATTAGCAAAATTGCTGCTTGTGGAAGTATGATTCGGGCTTTTACGAAGATTTCAGCAGAAAGAATAAAAATGACTGAATGACATTTCTTAATGCGTAATGGCTTGATAATGATTCCCTTTTCTTTGCAGTAAAAATGTGTACTTCAGACTGTACAGTTAATAACGTCCGGGAGCAAACGTTATTTTTCTTTGAAAACTCTAAAATATATATGTGTATATATAATGCTGTCAGTGAAATGTATAGTTATTTGGGGGAACTGTAGCTTGTTCATAAAAACAAACAATTCAGGTCTGTCGAAGTGGCCTCTCTGTGTGTGATCACCTCCCCACACAGCCTGGGGCGCTGGGGGGATCAGATAAATAATATGTACCTTCCTCTGGGGTTTGCACCTCTTAATTCTACCCCGGAGAAATCCCGCTGCAACCATCTCTTTATAAAACAGAAAACGTATGCAAACCCAAATTCCGGACGGGGGCGAAATGAAATCTGCCCCGTGTTCTGTCTGCTGCGGTCAGGGTGCCTTGCGCACCAGTTTTCACTCCGCCGAGCTGGCTTTGAAGAGCGTTGGTGTCCGTGCCCCCAGGCTGCCAGAGTCGCTGCGTGTTGCAGGAGTCTGGAGCCTCCTGTCTTGCCAGCCCTGGGGCGGAACAGGGAGGAAGGGAAACCCTGGGCTGGGAACTCTTGTTGGCTTCGACATGTGAAAACAGATGGTGGGAGATTTGGCCCTGGGAGAGAATCGGGTCGCCATGAGTCATACAAGCGTCAATATTTCTTTGGCGATTGTAAAGACTGGGAGGGGGGGGTTGTTTGAGGTTGAGACGGGGAGGGTCATGCTCCCTTTGCGTTGTAGCGAAGCGTTCCCAGATATTAGGGCCGAAGTGGGTTGCCATTCATTAATAGTGCTTCACAATTCGATTAAATCATTCTGGAAAATCTCATAAAATCCTCTAAGCACGCTCCAGTGGCTCGCTCCAGCCCCCCGCATTCAGCGCTCGGGGAGGGTCGGAGGGGGAAGAAAATTGGTTTCTTTTGCCGCTTGGAAAAGCTGCTGGGCGTTTGTCATGCGTGCCCCGTCAGCTGTTGAACAGGGAGCCCCGCTGGAAGTCAGGGGGCCGCGGGCGTGGGGGGTGCTGACGGGGAAGCTGGGGCGCGGGACGAGTTTCCCTCCAGCTGGAGCAGCTTGAAAGAATAGGGGGCCTTGGCCTGGGGCGTGTTCGCAGCATCCGAGGGAGCCGGGATGAGGAGGCTGGTGAAACAAGGCCCCGGCGCGGCTATCGGCCGGCCCGAGTTGTGAGCCGTGGCTGGCGGGGGGGGGTCACGCGATTTGCTTCTGCTCCGGGGAAGGGTCAAAGGAGAAGCGATGGCTTCAAACCCGCCGGCGGGCCCCCGCACTGCCAGCTCCTAAAGCGAGGGGGGTCCTGGCGCGGCCCCTGCCAGCAGCACCTCGGGGCACGGGCGGGCCGGGCGGGGAGGGAAGCGCGGCCCGAGACGAGCTTTCCCGCCTCGCCACCCTCACGGGCAAAACCGCGCGGGGAGGCAGCGGCGCGGGATTCTGCCCCCGACGCTTCGGACGCCTGGAACCGGATTGCGGCTCTGCCGCTGGTTTACACACACACACCCCCGTCCCGACCTCGCCGGGCCTCCCCGAGCTTGTTCCCCGCGCTGGAGCCGGTGAGGGGAGGGCCGGGTGCGAGCCGGGACTAGCGCTGGGCACCTCTCAGGGCACATTTAGCGGCGCATTTCCCCCGCTGCTGGTGCCCCCACCCCCCTCCCAGTGTCCCTCCCCCAACAGCCTGGCTTCCCGCCAGTGCCAGCCGGGGTCACTCCCCTCCCCCCGCACAGCCCTTCCCTTCCAAACCAGACCCGCAGGGACCGGCCGGATCAGTGCAGGAATCAGGACACATCGTGCCAATGCCCTACTCACAGACACCCCCCACCCCCCCCCCGAGTAAAAGCCCAGATTGAAACTCCTCTCCAGGCTCCCCGCCCTCTCTGGCTGGCCCCCAGGGTCTAGGCCTTGTCAGATTGCCCTAGTTGTGGCTGGCCAGGTAGAGGAATAACTGCGTTTACCAGGAAGCTACAACCACCTTCGCCAAGAGGTCTACAAGTTTGACGTCCTCCAGTTCCCCTGAGCTGCAAGGCCCAGAGCACGGCCGTCTCCCCACCGCTTCCACGAGCCCTCACTTTGCCTGCCCCCCTTTGGCTAAATCAGTGTTGCCCCGGAAGCAGGTGGCGGCCGACTTGAAGTCTGTATGACATTTCATACATACAACAGACACACCCAGGCTGGAACCTGCCACGCATGACTGTAGGAGGGTTCTGCTTCTCAGCCAGTTTCAAATTGTTCGGATTTTTAGGGCAGGCGTCTTAGAAACGCATTCAACGTTCAATCTGTTAAAAGAAATTCCTATTTTGTTGACTTAAAACAAGAAAAACCCGCGCCTACTAAAGACAGGAATCTCAGCTTCCTCCTACAGCAGTTTTGGGGGGTAACAATCTTTTGGACAGTTATAATAGACCATATTTGTTACACCGCTGCTATTTCCATGGTTATTTCCAATGACGCTATTAAATGCCATATACTTCAATGTAGCCTTCACAATCTTTTTGTTAAACATATATATATTTATATATATATATTTTATTTTCTGTGTGTGGCACTTCTCCACCTAATAGCAAGGAAAAGTGTTAACAATAACGACATTACACAAAAGTACTGTACCATTGCCTTTTTAGGGTTTCGGAAACCTCTACAGTTAATAAGTTAAATAAAGGGGTTGTACATAAATATTTGTCTAGGAACCCTATTATATCTACAACACAGTAAGAATCTACAGAATGACAAACTTTTACAACACTACACTGAGTGCAATTGTTTTATAACATTTCAAATATACAAAGCTCTGTTCTTTTTTATAACAATGGTATGTACAGAATCAATAATCACAGTTTAGTGACTTAAACAGTCCATATTCTAGCAGTGTATTTCCCTTTGGTTTGATAAAAAAAACCTTGGTTGGTGTAGTGTTAAAGAATATAACAAGAAAAAGATATACCCCTTTCCTTTAAGTGCACTGGTTATCTTACAGCATCAAATTCACTTTCATTCTGCACTGGCAGCGTCCTTGGTTAATAATATGCAGCTGGCTGCAATAACATGTACAATAGTTCTCCAGTGCTCCTGATAGACCGACTTAATATCCTAAGATGTTATTTTAAGAAGCTGTGTGGGAGGTTTAGGTAATTTTTTGGAAATTGCAATTTATTTATTTTATTTAGCCAGATGTCCAGAAAGGGGGGGGGGGGGAGAGGAAGGGATGTAACTTTAATTCTATATAATATAATATCTTATTAGGAGCTCTTTTTGTCTAATGACCAATGAAGAAATTAATGTAGTGTACAGTTTTAAAATGTACCAGCCAAGGAGTTACTTATTCAGGAGCTTGTAAATGTTGGTTCACTCATGTGAGTGCTGATGCTTGCTTTCTTCAAGTTCCTAACCCGAGAACCTATCCAATGTCTTAGTCGCTGGTCCTCTTTTTCCATTTGGTCTTGATTCGTGCTAGCTGAGGTGACCTTTATTTATTTATTTATTTTAGCACACCTCTTTCCCTGTGCTGTTTCCAGGGATAATATTGAGCTGTGTGAGCTGAGCTGCGTGTTCTTTTGCTTTCAGCCTCAGAGCTGCTATGCTAGAAGCCCGTCTGTCTGCTGCAGCTGTTGCTGGATCTGATAGCCCACTTGATTGCACTGCACTTTCCACGGCAGGAGTGGGCTGTCTCAGTAGGGCAGCAGCAGTGGAAGCACTAGTCAGGGGAGCCATAGTGGAAAAGAGCCTGCAAGTAAAGTAAACATTTTGGTCAAAACCAAGGCAGCTTATGTGAGTGTGTCTGTTGCTGTTCTGTCAGAATAAGGTGACCAGCGTTGTCATATCTGTTCCTTTTTTCCCCTTTCCCTGTTCGCTTCCACTGAGTTCATGTCAGAGCTAAGCAGCGAAGTGTTATCACTAATGTAGAAAAGACAAAGACGTTGAAAAAAAATCTCAACACTGGCAGTCAAAAGATTTTTAAAAAGCGAGTCTAATTCTCTCAGATTTGCTGGTGACAGCAGCTCACACTAGAGCACACTGTCAGGAGCAGTTGATACTGTGATTTACACTTAATAGGGAGAGGAATTCCAAAATGAAACGCTTTGGGGGATTGTTTTCTCCTTAGCTATCATTTAAAATAGAAACGCTGCACACATTAAACTCTTCCATTATACTATTCCTCTCTTTTCCCCCAGTGGATTTCTGCCTTTCCCCTTCCCCCCTCCACAATCATCTTCCTCTTTTAAAGGTTCTACTGTCCTGATGCCCAAAGTGTCTTAACCGTTCCTCAGCACTGATGCCCATACCAGCAGGAAGTGGCATTCCTGTTGATTTCCTCACAGTGGAATGCCAATTATTATCCAGCAACCTAGCATCCAGGCTCAATGACACAATCTTTTAAATGCCTTCCCTCTAGTTTTTCTTACTTCTCTCACCAGAGCAGTCACTCTGAAGAGTGCAAGTGACCCCCTTGACTGGCACATCAAGATGTACAGACTCTCCATTAACCAAGGATGTGATTATTGACATCATCACGGCTAGGAACTGAACTGTGTTCCTTGAAGGCATCAGGGTCTACATACTAAGCCCTAGCATGCTAAGCTCCCATATTGGCTGCTGCGATTTTTTTTTCTTTCTGAGTCTTTGATGCAGATATTAAGTATTAAGATTGGCAAGAATGGAACGCATTCCCTTTAAAAGGTCAATTACTGCTCAGTTGAACACAAGCTTTTAGGTTCTTCAGAACCTCTAATTCTACTGGTAAAATCTAGCAATACTATATATATCAAAACAATGATAGGTTTGATTAGTGGGAGGCAATCCCTGTTGTGGTGAACTTGTTAAATTTAACCGTTTTAAATCACCTAATACATAGTGAAATACTACATTTCAAGGTGGATGTGAATTTGCTCTGTCATGCCTATTTTAATCTTATAGCCCATTATCCAGGCCGAGTTAGTAAGATTTTACAATTCACTTTTCAATTTGTTGTCAGAAAGAAAAAACAACCCGTAGAAGGACTGCACTAATGGTACAAGAGAAGTGATAAACTGTGAAATCATCGCTCTAAGCAGGGGGCGTGACAGCACTGTAACATCACTTGTTCCATTAGGTAAATTGAGTCACTGACTACAATTTGATGCATAAACTGTTTAATTGTATTGGTTTAGACTAAGAAACTAATTTGACTTAGATTTTTTTAAATTTTCTTCCCGACGATTAAAGTGGCTGCTCAGTTGGATGAATCTATTATTTCTTTGTTCTCCTAAACAGAGATCCTTGCAGTTACATTCAGTTTTATTTTCACTGCTCTCTCCAACTTAATAAATCCTTCCATTGTTTCTCTGTCTGTGTGATTAACTACAGACTTTTTAGTTCATCATTTGGTTTTCATTTAAATAAAGTAAGCTATAATATACGTGAATCGTTTCTTTTATTTCAGTGTCTTACACGACTGGTAGATTTAGGTATAAAACACACTGAGAAATAGAGCCGAGCAAATACTCCAAAACAATTTTTACGACGAGTCCTACTAATTATTTAATGCTTCACCTGTATTGTGTCCCCTTGCTACAAATACTCTAGCGAGTGATGCGCTGGGACAGGAATGTTTGTGGAAACCGTGAATGTCTGTCTACCAGATATAAGAGAATATTCCCAGAGAGCAGATTTTGAATTAGTAGACGTGAATATTCCTGGTGACAATCTGATTCTAAGAGTTACCCTCATCTAGTCAGGGAACCGAAGCGTAACATGTGACCTGTGCGTCCAATCAACACTAACCAACACAGCTCGAATTTCGAACATCAAATAATCCACAATGAACTGCTTGCGAGAGATCTACCAACCCAGAGTCGTTATAATTCTGTGAATGGTTTTAAATAACTAATACGTTCAAGAAAACGATAGGCTGCTCGAGGGCAATTTGTGAACAGCAAAAGAGGTAAAATTAATCAAATTACACGCTACAAATTATTCACCCGGCTCTACCGGGGAAGCATCATCGGCGCCAAGTCACTTGTGGGATACCAGCTTCAGGGTGAGAAGTTGCCTTTCCTTCTTGACTCACTGCCACCAACCCTCACACCAGAGCAACTCTTCGAAAACTTTCTTGTTACTCTTTCAAGACAGTTCTATTAACATTAAGCTCCACCTGAGACTCGGAGCACTGCACATTAATGAGTCAGGTTGTAGCATGCAGACGTCAAGTGCTTGGAAGTCTGCCACTTCCCCTCACTTGTCCTTTTTTCCCCCTTTCCCTTCCCTTCCCTCCCCCACCACCCCGAATAATCTGTAGTGTAAATTCAACTAAGAGGTGCCTAACTAATCCAGGCAAGAGAAGTGCGTTAATTGAACACAAGCTGGATTGCAGTAGGCGGTCGTGGCTCCGGAAAGCCATGTTCCATGGCACGCACTCCCCCCCCCCGCCCCAAACCTCCACCCCCCTGTACTGTGTATACACCGCTTTGGCAAATGGAAACCGTTGAACGTGTTACCTGCCAAATGCAGGGCTGATGAAGGCTGGATGCCGGAATACAGCTGCGCCCAGGAAAGTGCTGAGGCCTAGCGGAGTCCCACTTGGTGGCAAAGTTGCAGAACCAGGCGGAGGAGGTAGACTAGGGAAGGCGGCGGCAGCAGCTGCTGCAGCAGCAGTCCAGGCGGAGTCTAGAGCTGGGTGATGAGGAGGGAAAGGACTAGCATCAAGGTATGGACTGAGTGGGTGAGTTGCTGACAGGGGACCAGGGAAAGGCAAACCTGGGGTGTGTGTCTGAGCCCCAGCCTTTTCCCTCTTCCGCCATTTAGCCCTACGGTTCTGGAACCATACCTGAAAGCCAAAAGAAAATTGGTTTTAATAGTTTACATATTTCTGGCCTCCTCTCCAAATGTTTTGCCCAGCAGACATGGTAAATTTTCCGGATAGGTCTCGAGAATTTCTACCCCAAACCCTCAGCAGGCAGGAGGTCAGAACTGGATAGGATTTTAGACTACAAATGGCAGTTGTTCCAGGTAACATTTGGAGGGGTTGGGGGGGGGAGGGGGAGAGATGCTTTGTTGTTATTACATGGAGTAATAAATGGCCTGGGTTGGTCAAATAACTCGCACATTAAGACAGGATTAAACAACCCCTGAAGTGGGCGTGCATGGTTACCTTTCATGAAAGCGTTTTTATCATCTTCTCCTGGTTTATATATTTACCCTGCTGGTAAAGTGATTGCCTCTTTGGAGGAAAGTATGAGGCTAGGGTGGCGCTGACCCGTTAAGCCTTTTATCCTTAGTCTGGTTGCTTATGCTATATACTATATAAATAATATCTCGTCTCCGGATTTACGTTTCACAGGTATAAATAAGCACACACGTGTGTACTGAATACTCTGAATGTACGTAACATTTAACACACAGTATAATATTCGGAAGTTGCTTTTTCAGCTAACATGTATCCATTTTCCAGAGGAATCCTACTGGTTTGAGTGGAGAGTAAAACGTTTTAATTTAAATACTTGACAGCATGGTGGTGGTTTTGGCAGCATACAATAATGCTTTCTTTTATGGACATTTTAACTGAAACATTATTGCTGTAGTCAAATGTTCTAAAAATTAATTCCCACTAGAACTAAATTATTTTTATGATGTGATCCATACACACACCCACACTAAGATCTGCATGGTATCTTTCACTGAAGTTAATATTTACAAATGGTATCATTTTAGGCTCATTCAGCTTTTTAAAGATTAAAAGCAATACAAAATCGGGACTGCAAGTAAAATGTAATATTTAAAAAAAAAATCAGGAAGCTATTGAAGGAATAATATGCATGTCCCAGCTGTACTCTTAGGATTTAGTTTACATTACTTTGTTAGCCAGCCACGGAATTGCAACCTCACCCTAAACATTCGTTAATCAAAACCTGTTTGTTCTTTGAAACAGGAGAAATTAATAAAACACCACATTTTAACGGAAAATGTTTGCTTAATAGCAAAGTGTAAATATCACACATCAAAGGAGAGCCTTTGAAAGAGACATAATCTGTTAATTTTGTGGAGCCGTGGGGGTTGAATTTTCACCTTTAAATGTAGCTCACGTTTGGCAGATCATTATGAACCCCCATCTCTACTGCAGCTAAACGAATAAAAGCAACTATGCTATGTGGAGACGTACGTATGAAGAGACATAATGTTCTTAAAGGAAGCCAAAATCTTCTACAACCGGATCGTCTCTCCCAACTAAAACTCATTAGCAAGCTGTCCCCACTGCAATTCCCCATTATTGAATTAATAAGTCTGAGTACACCCAAAAGGTAAACGAAGGGACTCTCATAATTCATATTCCCTTAATTACATCTCCTCCAGTGAATAGGAGAAGAGAGAAAGGGGGTGTCTTTCTTTTTAAAAGTTATTTAACTTTCCCACGACTTGTTCCCCTGAGCTGAAAATACTGATTTGCTGTCACATCTCTGTTTGACAATGGAGAAATGTGTCAACAGAAAGGAGGGGACAAATCTCATCATTAGCCCCTCTAATGCAAGAAGCTGTTGTGTATTAAATGAGCCATATGGAATTTATTATGCTTTATCAGCGCCTGATTTTAACTGTAAAGTGATTTGCTCAGCTTCAGACCCAGAGACATCTGTTTTCTGTTGGCAATCAGGGCATCCCAATGTTTATCGTCTCTTTGGTTATGAGACTTGGGTTAGGAAATGCACTCTGGTATGGGGCTGCAAACACCTTTAATAGCATTGCACTCACTCACTATTAGATCAATGCGGGCTTATTGCTATCAAAAATGGGAAATCAAATAGCATTAGCCAGCCCCTTGTGCAGGCGGAGAGGAAATCAAACAACATTTCGCCTTCAAATGGCCCTGTTTGTTCTAGCACTAAGTGGGCTTTTATGAAGCCCGATTGGAGATTTAATCACGGCCAAATACCTGCTTGGAGCAGAGCGGATTTGTCTAACAACCAAAACCCCGCGTGGCCGGGCGATTTTAATCCAACTGGGTTTCGCCGGCTGATTTCCTGGGATCGGTTGGGGGTTTGGTGGGAGGAGGGGCGATTCGTTTCCTCCGGTCTCTCCCCTGCCCACCACACTGTCCCCAGGGGCCAGCCCCCCACGGCCTCCCCACCCCAGCGTGCCTCTGGAGAACACCCCGCAGGAGAGGCAAAGGCACCAGGGATGGTTTCCAACCCACCCGCGCAGGGCTGAGCCCTGTCCCAGCGGGTGCTGCTCGGCTTGGCTGGCCAGGGCCCCGCGGGCATCCACCGGCTCCCTGCGGGGTGGGGAGACCGCGCACCCGCCCCAGCTCTCGCCCGGACTCACCTGCACTCGGGCTTCGGTCAGATCCAGCCGCATGGCCAGCTCCTCCCTGAGAGGGAAACAAGCACACAGACACACCGCGCCGTGAGACTCCCCTCGGGGGCGCAGGGCAGCTGGGGCAGCTCTGCCCCGTCCCCAGACCCCGGCCGGGGAGGGGGGTCTCGAGTCAATGGCCGAGCTCCGGGGGACACGAATGGGAGCAGGATCGAGCCCCCTGCCGTGTGCCTGGTCTGAGCGCAAACACAGCGCACCCACCACCGGCAGGCCACGGCCCCCAGAGCCCTGCCAGGGGAGTATCCGGGGGCAGCCCTAGCCTAACCCCCGGAGCCACGGTCTGCCCCGCAAAACTCCGCCGGGGCTGAAGTCAGCGCAGTTTGGCTCCCAGTGCTCACACCCCGCCTGCTTGCCAGACCCGCGGCCTGTGGAGCAATCGTAGGGGAAGGGCTTCTTGCACGTTCCCCCTCCGCAAGCGAGCAGGAGATGCTAGAGGGCAAAGGGGGCGAAGTCGCCCCCGGGTCAGACCATCCGCAAAGACCTTCGCCCGTCACAGTGTGTGCCTTAAAAACTCATTAGTTTCAAACCCAGGAAACGCTTGGTGTTTCCAATGCCCACCGCAAACTCTACACAGCGCGCGCTGGGGGTGTGTGGGGGGGTCCAATTTAGCTGAAACCCTACCCCTTCATTGCAGTTATTATTGCAATAATGAAGGCAAATCGGAAACCATTAAGATGTTATAAAACTGCTCGTAATCTGTTTACCTAAAATATGAGAGCGCAGAGCATAATTGGCTCTCCCCCCGCTAAAAAGAAAGAGCTGGGCTGGCCAAGGGACCCCGGGCTGCAAAGAGGCTGTTTTCTTTCAGACCCCCTCAGCCTCACCTGCAACTTTCAAAGCCTCGAGCCCGAGGGAAGCCAAACACGAGCCGCCTTCCCTTTCGCCACGCAACAAGCGCTTGACATTTTAACTCAAGTCTCCGAGCCGGCTGACAGCTTTCTGTTTAAATGTCCAGCCAGAGAAAAGGCTCAGGAATCGCAGAAGCGACGACAACAAAAAAAGGCCTGTTGGATTTTTCCCGTTTCCCTCCAGGAGCTTGAAGCTAAACTACCCGTTCTGGAGCGCAGCTCTGCAGTATTCAGGCAGCGCAAAACGGCGCGGAAGGCCTTGGGCTGTTAAAGGTGTTAGCAATTGTGTCTTCTGGGGAAAGAGTTTCGTTGCTGTCTGGAGGCTGCAGAAATGTTAGATGCAGCAGAGCATAAGTGCACTCCGGGTCCCACAGTTAAATCCCCATTTAAGCGTTTCCACGCCGCATTGTTTTTTTGGTTTTGCTTTTTGTTCAAAAAGAGGGTTGACTTTCCTTCTTTTAGTGACAACGGCGAGCTATGAAATTGGGGGTCTGACCGTGGTTTTAACATTCTCTAGAGGTCACTCTCTCCTTATTTTTTTCTCTCCCCTTTTGACAGGGTCTCCTCGAGATCTGTCTTCAAAATTCAGGGGAAGAAAAAAAAAAGCAGGCGGTGTAAATCAAACGAGTTTCTGGGCTAAGGAGACTGGACGGGTGTGTGTGAAAAGGAGGAGAATGGGAAAGAGCCCGTCAGAACTGTAAACAAACACAAGATACACCTAATTCCCATTCGAAAATTTCTCTCTGTGTTTCTGGGCAAGGACAGTAAATGAGCTGTAGATGAAGTGTATACAACACCAACAGACCCTACTATCAGGTTTCAGTATTCGCAAAAAGAAAAGGAGGACTTAGTCTCTAAGGTGCCACAAGTACTCCTTTTCTTTAGACCCTACTATGTGTAGGAGAATATCACCCCCACCCCTCTCTGACTCCGATCTAAGTTTGTATCTCTCTGCACATATCCATACGCAGAGGTTAAACATGTTACACGCAGTATTTTAGCGGAGTTATTATCTAGCTAAATATTCTAAGAACCCAAAGCTGGAATACTTTGATCTTTTTTTACAGGACTTCCCTGGACAGGGCAGGGTTCCAGCTTGCACTGGGAAAAGCGTAATTGATACTCAGCTAGCTTGCTGGTGGATCTGAAGAAGGATCAAGGCATGGGATAAAAATAGGACACTATTTGGTTTAGCGAGGAGCTGGACAGATACTACCTGCCCTTGGCCAACTGGCTCTGCAGTGAAGACAAACTAATGGCAGAAGTTTCTCTCCTTTCCTGTGGCCGCCCCCCTCCTTCTCCCGCTAACAGAGCAGCTATTTCTGCAGTAGAGACTGCGTCTACAGCTGACTAAAGTGGGGGGAGAACTCTCTTCCCAGCTGATCCGAGGGGGATGCAGGAAAGGCCCGGGTGAGAGGGAGAGGAAACTCCTGGGGATTGTGGCCAGCAGAGAAACTCAGGGACGTGTGTGAGAGAGAAACGCTAAGGCGCCTTCTCCACTCAGCCAGCCAGCCCCGGGAACTGCCTCCGGGCACAGCGGAGCTGCGGGGTGGGAAGGGCCCTGTGCCCAGCCGGGCAGGCTGCGATCCGCGACGCCCCCTCAGCCGGTACCTGGTGAAGACGTCTGGGTAGTGGGTTTTCTGGAAGGCCCTCTCCAGCTCCTCCAGCTGGTAGCTGGTGAAGGTGGTGCGGTAGCGCCGCTGCTTCCTCTTGAGCAGCCCCTCCTCGGAGTCGCTGCCCGCCGACAGGCACACGCTGTCCTCGCCGTCCTTGCCCTCGGCGTCCTCCGGGTGCAGCAGCAGCTCCTCCTTGGGGGACAGCTCCCCACCCTCGGGCCCCGCGGCGGGGGCAGCGCCGCGCCTGGGCTCCTTCAGGAGCCCCCCGCCGGCCTCCCCCAGCAGCTCCTCCTCGTCCTCCTCCTCCAGCTCCTCGTCCTCGTCCTCCTCCTCCTCCAGCAGCTCCTCGTCCTCCTCGTCCTCCTCCTCCTCCTCGGGGCCCCCCGCGGCCGCCGGGCCCGGCCTCTCCTCGGGGCGCCCCAGCTCGTCCAGGGCGGGCGGCGGGGGCGCGAAGGGCGCGTTCTCCCGGTACGACTTGCTGCGGCTGATGCTGACCTGGGGCGCCTGGCTGATCTTCAGCGTGTCCCAGGACGGGGCGGCGGCCCCCTCCGCCCGCTCCCCCCGCGGCCCGGCCGCCCCCGGCAGCAGCCGGCCCCCTCCGGGCCCGTACAGGCGGCGCAGCTTGGGCGGCAGGTGCAGCTCGGCGGGCTCGAACGGGGGGCTCCCCTTGGGGGATCCTGCCGGGAGACAGACACACACAGCCCGCCGGGGCACAGACAGAGAGAGAGAGAGAGACCGGGTCAGGGCAGCAAGGCAGGGCAAGGCACCAGCCGGGTGGGTGGGTGGGTGGGTGAGTGAGTGGGGGGCTCACGGGGACCCCAGCCCCGTCCCCAGCCGGCGGGAGACCCCCACCATGGTCAGCTTCAAACCACGCTGGCCCCTTCGGCTCCCCGCCCTTCCAGACTCCGGCTGGAAAGTTGCCAGCGGTCCATCCCAGTGTAGCCGCCTGCTTCTCTCCTGCAGCGGGCAGCCGGTCCTAGCTGGTGGCATAAAGCGACCATCGCTCATCCCTGCCGGCCGAAGCGCGGGCTCAACAAACCTTTCCCCGCCCCGGTTATTCCCCCCGCTCTGCAGAACACATTTCCCTTTTAACCCAAAGACTTCGTGCTACCATCAGAGTCTGAAATAGCCCTGGGGAATCGGGGGGCGGGGGGGGGGACACACCCAAAGGCCGAGATGCTCTAGCTCGTCTCGCTTCCTTTGCCCTAACGGTGTTCACTGGATATTTTCCGTTTCAAACAAGCCTATTAGTCTAAATCGCAAGTTTATCTGGCAAGGAGAAAGAAAAACCCGCTGCTGTGAATGATCTCCCCAGAGGTTAAACCGCCCTTGAGCGGGACGAAACAGCCCTAAACGAAAAGAGATGGGAAATGTGATTTGGTGGCCAATTATTAATTCCCCTTCTCGCTCAAGAGCAAGCATGAACTTCATACAGGAGATCAGAGAAATGTTTTACACAACAAATACGCAGGATTTCCATCCCCACCCCTCCAGCTTTTCTTTAACGATACTGAGTCTCAATTAATAAAACTACAGAAAAATATTGAATCCGGCTTAGCTAGGGTACGAATCGAATAGTGTTCACTTCTGACATAAAGGGTAAATCCCCAGCAAGAACGATGAACTTGTCAGGCTAAGAACAGCGCAAAAGGAAGCCGCAGTTTCCCAGCAGTTCCAGCCCAGTATCATGCAATGCGAAGAGTTTAGTCTGGACTAAACTTTAGTAAAATCACATTAATAATAAATAAGAATAATCTGAACTGAAGATGCGATCGCGGTAACCAAATCCGCCCAAGTCAATGGCAATGCTCCCCCACTGCGGAACACCCTCAGCGCCCCAGAATTACAGGGTCTCCGCCGCTCAGAGAGCCCCTGTCCACACGCTGGAAGGGGGTGGGGTGAGCTAATCCCAACAGCAACTGCTATTCCTGACCTCTCGCTTACATAAGCCGATCGCTACAAATATATTACTTTTATGACCAAACTAAATGCTCACGGTGTGAGCCAGAGCGATCGAAAACGAGCGAGCGAGATTGGGAGCGATCCAGCACGGGTTAGAGCTCTGAATGGCTTTGCGGTTAACAGGCCTATAGAGCGTCTTCTTTGGGTCTCCCCCCTACCCTCCCCTTCCCTTCCCTTCCCTCCCAGATGCACTTTTACTTTTCTTTTCCCCCAGCTGATTTTGCTTGCAACCCGCCGTTTGTTGCTTACCTTGCACGGCCTTGTCCTGTTCTGTCCGGTTAGACAGAGAAGGCAGGCTCTGAGCAGCTCCTAGCAATCTCATTTTACAGGGGCTCCTCCTGCCCAGGATGCTGTCTATGCAGTAGGAGGAGAGTAAAGTTGGAGATTTACTTTTACATTCAGGCCTCTCAGAGCAGCTCTCTTCTTGGTATTGATTGCTCATGGCTTTGGCTTTCCCTTCGGTAAGGAGCTGCCTCGCTCGGCCGGCGGGCTGGCTGGCTGGCTGGCTGGCTGCGTGTGTGTGGGGCTGGGTTGTTGGCTTTTTGTTTTTTTGGTTGTTGTTGTTTTTGCTTGGGCTGGAGTGTTTTTTAATCCCCCCACCAGCGGCTCCACTCGCCCCTCTTCCTGCTCAGGACACTAGTAACAAGTGTAGTGAGCTGCAATTGCTTTGCTCTTGAGTCCCTCTCCTCCACGTGCTGGGAGCCGCCCTCTGATTGGCTCTCGCCAGGGGCAGGGCCGCTTCAGGCTTCCAGCTCGGAGCAAAGCCCGGTTTGGATCACTCGGGGATCAGCACCAGCGCGGAAAAGTTCCTCGGCGCGTCCCTCGGAGCAGCGTTCACTTCCACCCCTCCTCAGTCAGCAAACTAGTCCAAACCCCTAGCTCCCTGTCCTCCTATTCCTCCATCTCTCTGCAGCTACTTCCACTACTGACCCCCCCCCCACCTCTCACGTCCGGGAAAGGGAGTGTCTGTCAAATATATTGTTTCCCACAATTCTAAATTACTGGGTAGGGGTAGGGAAAGAGGGGTACGGGTTATTAAACAACCAGGATGCAAGGTTCAGTTATTGCTTTCAAAACAGTTCAGAACATCTCCAGTTGGCATTTTCTTCTTTACTGGGGTATGGAATGGTTTCAAATGTCACTGCACGTTTTGAGTAGTCGTTTGGAAATAAAATAATGCTTTCAGGGTACTTTCGCGGGGCTAATACGGATGAGCTCGCACTTGTTGCAGATCTGTTACCTATCCATTGCTAGTTACGCTTGAACAGCGGTTTAACAGCAGAAAAGGAGGTATGTAGATGGCAACACGGCTTGGGTGATGGGAAAAGACACATAAAAAGCCAGTGTCAGGAGACACAAGACTTTCATCTCGACAGCCGATTTCTCTTTAATGGCTAGATTTAAAATTGTTTATAAAAGTTATATTTTGCGCGGGGGGGGGGGGAGTCGATGCCCTGGAGGACGAATCCTTCATATGCCAAGGTTGACCTGAGGTAAACCAGCAATTTCATTGGAAGGAAATGGGAGAATAAGAATCGAGCTCTGGATCAACATATTTGCGACTGACTTTCCATCTGGATCTTCAGCTTGGAAACAGAAGGTCTGAAGTGTCCCTTATCTCCCTTTACACTGGAAACCCAGCAATGTCCCACGACATTGAGATCATTGTGGAAGGGCGGCCGTTTTAAATCTACCAAACGGGTCTGACAATAGAGCTGATACCTACAGCGGTGATTCTAAAACACCGGTGAGATAAAGCTGTATCCAGCAAACTCACCGTTTCCTTGCTGATGTCTGCAGTGCAGTCTAGGGCCAAGCGAAAATCAAAGAGGAGAAGCCAAGGGCCGGGGAAGAGGGGGTGCAGAAGAAAGAAATCCATGTCTGGTTTTCTGCCTGCCCGCTCTCCCTCATTGGATGTGTCAAAAGAAAAGCGTTTTACAAAGGAACTTACTTGAATCGCTTACAGTCCGTATTTAAAATTACAAGGATTCATAATTGGGATTTTTACTGTAATAAACATCTGGATAACGCTTTCAAATGCTAATGGGTGATCGACATTCCGGGGCTGCCTTGGCAGAAGTATTTAACACACAATTTGAGCTGCATGAAGTGTTGGTAACTGAACGGCCAGATCCCCGGGGAAGGTGCCGGACTTTCAAACCCAGAAGGTTTCGTTCGCTCCTCACTTACCTTTCCCTTCCCTCCTCTGGGTTGACGCGCACAGTTTCTCAGGCACTTTAAACACATCTTGGCTGCTGAAAGGCGCCTGGGATTTTCTTTTCCTGCTCATTGACCGAGCGATCGCATTTACATCCCCAGCAGAATTTTAAGGTCACTGTTTATACAGTTGAGGTTCGATTTTAATTGGCATGTTTTAATGATCAGTTCGTCTCCTGCTAAAATGTGCATTTACTGTTCCCATCCTACTAACGCACGAGACACGTCGGAGGCATCTCGCTTTTGTTTTCTTTGTCACCCTAAAATAATGCATTCGCACACTTAGATGAGGCGCTTATTCGAGAGCTGGGTGGGAGACAGCTCCATTTTTCCTATTAATCATACACATCCACAGTCCTCAAGACAGAGTTTTCATGCGGGATCCTGCACTTGAGCTTCTTTAAACAGAGAGAATTGTAAATAAGAAGTGTGTATATTCTCTCTCTCTATATATATATAATAACCGGCCTTGGAAATAATGTCTGACTTTATACATAGATTCCCATTCATGTACAAAGTAACCATCAAGTCAGACATTATTCCCAAGAGCTGTCGGGTACATAAGGGCTTCACATGGCATTTATTTCCTCTTATTTTACGCCTTTTAAAAATACATCGGCGGGGCTGGGTGTTCGTTTCTACACAATCAATGAACATGCGAGCACATCATTTTTACACAAAGCTACATTTTAATGATAAATACGTGTGACTAAAATACAATCAACCAGTTTCTGACCCCCCTTTATGAAATGTCTCTGACAAGCTAGATTTCCTCCGTCTGCTGCACGGAAGGAGCATTCCTGTTTCCTTTGCCTGCCAGTTTTTATTTTTCTAATCCTCGCTCCGTGTCTGGAGTGAGAACGCGATTTGGAAGGAAAGTCTTTTTAACTCGGGAGAGAGGAGATCCTGACACCAGACACATTGTCACATACACCCTCGAACGATCATTGTCACGATTCAATGCCACAACTTCAAAAAGCTCTATTTATCCCTTCTTAGTTATTGGTATTCTTGAACGCCATGTCAGTAATAATTGTAATAAAAAACAAATCTAGAAATCAGGGATTACATGCACAGATAACAGACAGAGCGCCTGAAAGCAACTTAGTTACTGACTGACCGGATTTTACTGGTTAGTTGTGTTGTTTTTTTTAATGAAGGCTACTTTTGCACATTTATTGTATTATAAAAACAATAATGTGTTGAACGGTCATAATAAAAGAAGAATTAGTGGGCTGCATAAACGAGGAAAAGAGAACTCCTGCTTTTATTTTTTCTAATTTTGGTTAACATGTTCATTTATCCTCTCTCTTTAATATTAAGCAAATAAATTACACTTTAAGTGCATAGGTATAGAACACTTCTGGCTTGTTCTCCCTGATTGCTCGTCTGATAGATACCCTGTTAGCTGGCAAAATAATAATAATAATAATAATAATTAATAATAAATAAATCGGCTTTATCGGCTATCACGATCAATAACTAAAATGAAAATGACAAATGTAATACTGCAACCTGCATGAGACTATAAAGCTGTCAAAAAATCTGTTGGTTGTTGCACAAATTGGGGCTGCCTACACCATTGGACTGGATGTTCACATGAGCGTCTAAGAAACCGTTTTCCTTACACGGGGAAGGTTAAGTTTACGGTGCATTTTTGTTGTTTATGTTTTACTGACACTTGCAAGAAACGTGCAAGAAGGCATTGGTTCTAAATCTCCAAACTGGAGCGATCTGGAGTACCTGGCTCCGCATGAATCTGAAACACTTTCATTTGAGATGCTTTACTTTATGTATCGTGAAAAATGGTCGGAAGGGGCTCAAGCAGCCCCTCTCTGCCCGGGTCCCCCCACATTCAGCTCAACCTCTTCCAAACATGTATTTAAACAATGGAGATAAACTTCACTTGGAGCCTGCCGGCCAATGGCAGGGGAGACAACGAGCCCTGACTGCGCGCGAGGATCCGCGGCGATGCGAGCTTGCCTTTGCCAAGTCATTTGGTTGTTTTATTTATTTTTTTAACAAACTTTCATTCATTTACGGTCTTTTTCCCCCCTTCAACCTGCTAATTTAACACTGGCGCGCGTTATTGCAGTGTTAGGGGGAGAGAAAGAGAGAGAGAAAACAACAATACTGCAATGATCCAAATGATACAGTAGAATTATAGCAATTATAGTTCTACTTGGAGAAGAAAACCTTGCTGAGATCAGCCAAACAAACTGATGCCTTGTAAGGATAACAAGCTTCTGGATTGACAACCAATGCTGAGAAAGGCAGGAGGGCACAAACGGAAATATTTGCCTTTTTTAACTCCAACCAGCCAAGATTAACCTCCTCGACTGCTGCTTTCATAGCAATATCCACTTCAGCTCGGTGCACCCAGGACAGGGTATATATTTTATTCGCACTCACAGTTCTATCCGCGGTAATAGGAGACAATGAAATGTAATCCCCCTTGTGTAGCCTGAGCCACCCCTTCCCCCACTCCGAGTTCCACACAAGGGTTTGCCCTTTGCAGGGTGTAAAAGAAAAGGCTCATGGAAATGTCTACAACGGGTGGAGAATTGGATTGCCCATGAAGCCTCTTCGTTCGGGGCTGGTTTAGCCGGCTAGTAGCTACTCTCACTCTGGTCAAAGCAAATGTCCCTCCTCTACACGCTTTAACAGGTAGCTCTACTTGGCTCTTTCCAGAGTAGCAGCCCTGTTAGTCTGCATCCGCAAAAAGAAAAGGAGGCCTCGTGGCACCTTAGCCTCTAAGGTGCCACGAGTCCTCCTTTTCTTTGTACTCGGCTCTTGGGAGCGAAATCTCCAGCAACCCAGCCCGCCCTAGGTAGCGGAAGTGGCATGCCTGATTAGTGCGCTGCTAATAAAGTAACTTTCTCTCCCTGCAAACTCTGCCACTTCCCAGTTGCTGGCTCCAGGGAGAGCGCGCCCGCCGGCTGGGCTGGAGCGTTGCTACACATCGATCCCCCCTCTGGGTACACACACACTGCTGTGCCCTCGGCCCAGCGAGCCCAGCTGATCGCGCTTCGGGGCGCCCCTCCTGCGGCTCTGATCCAGGCTGCAATGCAGCTACTCCCCGGGGTGGGATGCAGAGGGCTGGGGGGCTGCGGATCGTACGGCTCCTAAGACCCAGTGTGTGTGTGTGGGCGGGGAGCTGCCTAGCCCCATATCCTTCCCAAAGGCCCACCGGTACGGCTGGTCCCCTTACATTCGCGGTTACCAGCCCTCTGAAGGGGGGCGGCAAGTGCTGTGTGTAGGTCTGGTTCTCAACTCGGGGAACGCTGGGCTTTATTTGGGACCAGCCCTGGAGAGAGCCAGCTCTTGGTGCACAAAACCCATCAGTTAACGCAGGCCAGAAACGCAACCGCTATTTCCTAGCAATTATCCTCCCCCCACCCCCCATAAGGCAACCTGTATATTTGCAGGGTTGGCCCGATGGGCCACAAGCTACTGCCATCAATAGAAGGGCTCCCACTGATGCCAGTGGGCTTTGGCTCTCGCCTCCATTGCACAGATTAGGGCATCTTTCCTTAGCAAGAGTTTTGCTCTCTTGAGCAAGAAGCATGTTGGTTACCAGGAGCGGGCGATGATGATCTGGTCAGT